TGTGGCAAAGACTAGAAGAAAGTCAAATTCTAATAAATCAGCTACCTAAGCAGAGCTACAAATGAAGATGTGTCAAGAGACTTAAAAAGGGCCAAGAACTACATCAATCCACAAATTGTGTTGGGTGTGGAAGTGAATGACTACAATGCTAACATTGTCAATCACATTGTAAGCTTACTCAAACCACCAAAAACATCTCTAATTTGCCACTAATGTACAAGTTAGCAGTCATCAAATTGAATTACTTTGCACGTACTCAAGTTTCATTGAACAGGAAGGATATTCGAATAGATTTTCCATCCAAACATTTTCACTTTATTCAGAACTTTCAGCAGCTAAATCTTCTACCAAAATGTCCATTCAAAACTCATTCCTTTTTAGGTGGCTACGATCTGCTGCTTTCCATCTGAAGAACTGACCCATGTTTCTCTTCTTTGCAAATTCATCTCCCAATAATATGCCGATTAATAAGAAAAAAGAAGGCCATTTTTAGTAAAGTGCCAAACCAGTATGTCATTAGCAAGCCTTGGGCAAAAAGGGATTTTACATATCAACTCAGCTTCAAAATCCAAAAAGCACCATGTGATGAGAGCTTCATTCCATTCCTGACACCAGTGCTTTCATCAATAAGGGAGAAAACTTTACATTGGCGTGGAATCCATCAAACTTTCCAAATCATCACACACCAGACATTGAAATCCCTTCAAACCCTTTCTTGGAGATTGCACACAAAATCTATTGCCTCTGACGACGAGGGAATTGTTAGATGTGCATGGGTATTTCTGCCTGCACTAGAATTTTTTTTTAAGTTTTCCCATGACAAACCTCCATATTGTTGTGCAGAGCCTCAAGCATCCTCAACAACTACCTGCAATATAAGGAAACAAAACCATAAGTTGATAAGAGGTTCAAAGTAATATACATGAACACAATTGTAGTGGAGATAAGAAGGCAAGTGAATTTGCTTAATAACAAATAAATTGAAATTAGCAACCAAACTCAAGCTCACTTAAAGGAAAAAGGACCAAACTTCATCATTTTATTAACTATTATTGTAAAGTCTTAGCTACTCTATTAAGTAAAACATGAAATGACCAGTTCTTCCATATTGACATTTTTGGGGAGACAAAGTAACTATGGATTGCCCACATGGATTTTGACCAGATAAGGTGGCTTCCTAACTGTCTAATGTAAAATAGCATGCAAGGAGAAAGGCTAAAAAACACAAAGTGATTTTTGCAAGGTCTGGAAATTTAAATGATCAAAAGTCTTGCCTAGGAGTGTGCTGGAGGGACGAGAGAGAACTGGTTAATAATACCTAGTGCGTTAAAGTTTTTAAATATCATTGTCCTAATGTTTTTAAATGCCCGAAATTAAATTGAGAAAACTTATCAAATTCTTGAATTTTTGGATGAAGCATGATATATCAAGGAGATTTTTCAAAATTCAACAAGTATTAGATTCTCCAAGTGTTGAGAATGAATATTAAAATTAAAAGACTTGACTCAGGAAATTGAACAAAAAACACTACTCTAACTTTAGTTTGAGAGTCATTAGAACCAAAGAGAAACTAAATTAGATCCACGTGTTTTAACTCTCCATATAGCTATAGAAAAACAAGAGGCACTTCAACATTATATTAATCCGTATGTTGCAAAAGAATCATTCCACAACTACAATGCCAAAATAAAATTAAAGTTGATAGCCATAGACTGAGGATGATTACCCTAATAGGGAGAAATATCAAGTACAGGGCAATGAGGCCCACTCCAAGCCTCCTGGTAGGACGCATATCATTCCTTGGTAAAACAACAAGTGCCCAGATAGGTCCTGAGATGAGAAATCTCATAGTATAGAAGAGGCTTCTGTCTTGTGGAACAATGTACAAGCCAGGTTTCTCTGATCAGGCTCCAAGCAGCATTGAGATCCCCAAACCACCAAGTGTGTTGAACATCAGACTTGCATAGCATCCAGACAAGGTGATCTACATACCATCCCCACCATTCATTGCCAATGAAACATTTGACACTAAATCACCCATCGAGTTGCCCTATGCCAATACAGTTAATCCAAGGATTGATGGATTAACCCCTAGAATTACACCTAATCCTACCAACAGAGCAACAAGCTCATTTGCAATCATGTAGAACCAAACAATACTCATCAAAAATCCACCCAAAACCAATGGAAGTAAAAACTTCTAAGGTGGACGGTGTGATCTAGTGTACCGAAATGCAAGAAAACTGAGTGCACAACCAATGGAAACACTAAGCATATAAGCAACCTTTCTGCTTTTAGAACCCAGAGTCTTGAGTACTCCAGAGAAATGCCAAAAGAATGGGAGCAAGTGAAGCACTGCCTACAACGTAGAGACCTTTGACTAAGATTCCTCCTCAACTAGAGGAATTGTCAACCGGCGTAGCATTTTTAAAGGCAACTCCCTTATCGAACATAGTTTAGAACATGAGAATGACGAGTGCTCAGTTTCTATGCCATCATCAATCCAACCCCACACAAGTCTTTCATTGTCAGACACCTTAGCTGACTGATTTGAATATATTGCGACATTTGACACCCACATCTACTTAGGCAATGCATTACGGGACACGATTGTATCACTTTCTCTGTCCATGTCAAGAAAAGTACTATAGATAGAGTCATCCTCTTGGTTCCCTTGAGAGAATGCACTTCCTTTGACAAGAAACAACAATGTAACAACAACCAAATTCAACCTCCGAGCTTGTTTCCTCAAAATCTCATTTGCAGCAACAACAAATGCATAAACTGCATAAATCAAGACAAATGTGATGACTCCCCCCACAATCACCTTACCAACATACAAAATCAATGAAAGTGATACAAGAGTAACGAGCTGCACGTGAAATATGTGGCATGGGATACACTTCTCACATTGCTCTGACTTGGATCTCCATATAAGTGCAATTACTTTAAGTTATTCACACTTTAATGTATTTTCTTCTATATATTATGTTGTGGGTGTAATATTTAAATAAGTTACCCTTGTATGTGATTTAAAACTAGTTTGCTTGAATTAGGTTGTACTAACTGCTTATAATCTAAAATAAATTCTAATACTAATCATGTTAGCCGTGTCATGTTCGGATTGACACGACCTCAAGTAGGTTAGGTCAATGTTATGATATTTGACACGTTTAATTAAATGGATCATTTTAGTGTATCATGTTAGTGTTGGGTGTTGCATGATATATCAAGGAGATTTTTCAAAATTCAACAAGTATTAGATTCTCTGAGTGTTGAGAATGAATATTAAAATTAAAGACTCGACTCAGGAAATTGAACAAAAAACACTACTCTAACTTTAACTTTAGTTTGAGAGTCATTAGAACCAAAGAGAAACTAAATTAGATCCACGTGTTTTAACTCTCCATATAGCTATAGAAAAACAAGAGGCACTTCAACATTATATTAATCCGTATGTTGCAAAAGAATCATTCCACAACTACAATGCCAAAATAAAATTAAAGTTGATAGCCATAGACTGAAGAATAATATTATCAGCCATTATGACAATAATGGGAAGAAATTAGAAGAGATAAATGAGATTAAGGCTTTGAATACACACACACACATATATATTATGTATGTCCACGTATACATATTTCGTCTTTTTCCTTTAGACAATTTTATACTTCACTCAATAGGAATTTTTTTTTTTTTTTTTTGGGGGGGGGGGGGGCAGGTAGGTATTATGTTCCAAGTGCCAAACTAGCATTTTGCCTCAGAACATCAAGTAATTGTGCTTCTACATCATTTATATGAGCAAGTAACAAACATATTGTCTCTCAAGAATGCTATTGAAAAGTGAATACCATGTGAACACTGAGGCCCTTGTGGCAAAGGCTAGAAGAAAGTCAAATTCTAATAAATCAGCTACCTAAGCAGAGTTACAAATGAAGATGTGTCAAGAGACTTAAAAAGGGCCAAGAACTGCATTGATCCACAAATTGTGTTGGGTGTGGAAGTGAATGACTACAATGCTAACATTGTCAATCACATTGTAAGCTTACTCAAACCACCAAAAACATCTCTAATTTGCCACTAATGTACAAGTTAGCAGTCATCAAATTGAATTACTTTGCACGTACTCAAGTTTCATTGAACAAGAAGGATATTCGAATAGATTTTCTATCCAAACATTTTCACTTTATTCAGAACTTTTAGCAACTAAATCTTCTACCAAAATGCCCATTAAAAACTCATTCCTTTTTAGGTGGCTACGATCTGCTGCTTACCATCTGAAGAACTGAACCGTGTTTCTCTTCTTTGCAAATCCATCTCCCAATAATATGCTGATTAAGAGAAAAAAAGAAGGCCATTTTTAGTAAAGTGCCAAACCAGTATGTCATTAGCAAGCCTTGGGAAAAAAGGGATTTTACATATCAACTCAGCTTCAAAATCCAAAAAGCACCATGTGATGAGAGCTTCATTCCATTCCTGACACCAGTGCTTTCATCAATAAGGGAGAAAACTTTACATCAGCGTGGAATCCGTCAAACTTTCCAAATCATCACACACCAGACATTCAAATCCCTTCAAACCCTTTCTTGGAGATTGCACAAAAAATCTATTGCCTTTGACGACGAGGGAATTGTTAGATGTGCATGGGTATTTCTGCCTGCACTAGCATTTTTTTTTTTTTAAAGTTTTCCCATGACAAACCTCCATATTGTTGTGCAGAGCCTCAAGCATCCTCAACAGCTACCTGCAATATAAGGAAACAAAACAATAAGTTGATAAGAGGTTCAAAGTAATATACATGAACACAATTGTAGTGGAGATGAGAAGGCAAGTGAATTTGCTTAATAACAAATAAATTGAAATTAGCAACCAAACTCAAGCTCACTTAAAGGAAAAAGGACCAAACTTCATCATTTTATTAACTATTATTGTAAAGTCTTAGCTACTCTATTAACTATGGATTGCCCACATGGATTTTGGCCAGACAAGGTGGCTTCATAACTGTCTAATGTAAAATAGCATGCAAGGAGAAAGGCTCAAAAACACAAAGTGATTTTTGCAAGGTCTGGAAATTTAAATGATCAAAAGTCTTGCCTAGGAGTGTGCTGGAGGGAGGTTTTTTCAATCATGGATAGGACTTCTTCTCAATTATCTCCTTTTTTGATTTTTTTTTTCTTGTCTCTTATTCCTTTATTACCTACGAGAGTTCTCTACATTATCCAAAGTACTTATCATGCAAATTTCTGGCATACCTTGAGAAGAGGCACAAAGACTTGCAGTGCAGTTTAGATGATGAGCGTGCATACATCCTAAAGTTTGTTTCCACAACAACAAAGCACTAAGAACAAAAAGGTAATGACAATAGTTAGTACATTTTTCTATTTAAATTTTCAACAAAACATTGAAAAAATACTGAAAAGCACAGTTTTACAAGCTACAACTGCAGGTTTTAACAGACTGAGGTAGTTGTCCTCTTTAGGGTTAAAAATATTCTCGACGCTCATGGAGGTGTATTTGTATTTGGTGGAGTAGGCGAACGTACTCATGAAGCAGATGAAAAACAACATCAGCATTCCAAGTGAAATGGAACCACTCATTAGCTCTCGTCTTGGCAATTTCAAAAAAGAACAAATAACTTGAACTAATACAAATTGCTGAACCATTTATTTTGTAGCCATTGGAAACATTATAAAGCTAGCTAATACATCATATGTCGCATTTCAATTGTTGATGTAATAGATTAATTTTCCCAAAATATATTCCATGCTGCCATGGATATGATACATTATGCTGTCTCTGGCACTGCTATATGTTCTGCATAAATGCGACACACCAAATTTTCGTGTCCCAACTAAGTCCAAAAAATTGTAAAAGTGGAATACATAATTCTAACTCTATTGAAATTAAACTAGAAGCCATGGTATGGACTACAAATAGATAACATAATGAAATTAAAGACAAAGGAAATTTTGTCTGCCAATTACCTGGAATTGAAGCAACAGCACAGGAAAAATGAAAGATCAAGAGAAAAGGCACCGTCTAGCTCGGATTGTGAATGAAGAACCTGGAAAAAAAATATTTTTGCGTGAGTTGGTGACAAGGATGAATTAGAGAACTAATGTATTCCCAAAGCAAAAGTGAACCATCACAACCTACAGAGTAGATTTTGATTGTCATCCATAGGTGAGCATGGAAGACCATGAACATAGTGACTAAGATTTTGGATGATTGATAAGCTCCACATCTTTAGAGATTGTCACTTATACGATTTGGGAGAGAAGCATTGTTGTCTTTTAAAGATAATAAAATTCTTTAATCTGCCAGCTATTCATTCTAAGCAAGACCCTAAAATTTAAAACTCAAAATTATGCATAAGCTTATCATCAGTAAATTTCAAATTTACTAAAGCTAGAACCTGAAACAACTCGAAATTATAATGATTGTAGCAATAGAAGAATTATGTTTGAGTGAGTTACTGTCGTGAAGAGTATCAAAAAGTGATGCTATACTTTTCAATAGACTTCAAAAAACCAGATTTATAAAGTTAAAAGCTTGTACATCATTTTTTTTTTTCAGAATGAGATGGAATGCATGTTAAATGCACAATAGTAAAATAAAGATTCTCTTATGGTCCTAACAAAAATGCAAACTCGAAATATGATTGAAACATGGTGCAGAAGTAAAATTTTTGCTTCCATTCAGGTACTTGTAGAACAAAAGTGCAAGGATTCTATTGTTTACTTAAACATGGATGAATTAATGTGGGAACAAGTAGAATTTTAGAAAAATGGCAGTTGATTATGCATGAATTGAGCTCAGGGTGAGTAAAAACTGCGGAACAAACTTGATACATAAACTTGAAACCAAACAATCATCAATAGCCACCCCTTTGACAGAATAGTTGCTAAACCCAGAAAAAATTCATCTCTTATGCTTTGTTTGTTTTGGCCGAAAATGCTTTTTCGAAAAATGTTTGTCACATTTTTGGTGGTTAGTATGATAGAAAATGAAAGTTAAATGGAAAATCTTTTCAATGGTCAATAAAAAATAAGCCTTTTGAGTGAAAAATGCTTTATGGAAAAATGTTTTCTATGGAAAAATGTTTGTCACATTTTTTCCCGGAGTGTAAAACATTTTTTGGTCTAAAGTCTTGCCAACACTACCACACTACCACCATTGTTGCCGCCACCCCCCAACTCCAACTAATGCCACCGCTAATGCAACCACTAGTACATTAGTTTCAAGTTGCAATCAAACATAGGAGATCATTTTGCAGAGAAAACATTTTATAGAAAAATAGGTTGCGTTTGGTTTACTTTTGGAATTGTGATTCTAATCAAAAAATTTCAAAACTCATAACTAAACACACAACTCAAAACTCAATTCAAAAACTATTTTTAAAATTCATAGCACACAATTCAAACCTCTTTTCAAAAGTCATAACCAAACTCTTTTCCAAACGAACAGGGCACTTTTTCCATCAGCACCTATGAATAATACAAGATAAAATAACAAATGAGAATGAAAATTAAGAGAAAAGGAAATATTTGAAAGGAAAAAACAAAGAATGAATTGAAAAACAGAGCAGTGTGTTTAATAATAATTAATTAGTAATGTATTGGTAATTTCAACATTCACAACAAACTAAAACTCTCTTACGATCCAAAAGAAGCAGATAGTAAACTCTGAGTTGTGATAAAATCTGAGATGATATTGGTAATGAGAAAATAAATAAATAAAAATGGTATGACAGATGTTGTGTTTGTTTGTTTGTACCTTGCAGTTGGCCTATGATCTAGTAGAATAAATCGACTATTTTTTAAAGAGCCTATGATCTAGTAGAATAAATATATCTAAAGCTAAGACTCTCATTGCAAACAATTTTTAATATTTCATGTTTTGGAGTTTGTCGGAAGATTTTTGGAGTGGCAAAAGTAGCGAGGTTTTCTCGCTAGTGTCTGCTAAGATACTTTAGTCTTTGGTCAACCCCATCCGGAAAAGAACCCGATTTTATCAAAGATTAGAGAACTATTTGTTACTATTAGATGAACTTCCCCTTATGTTTTCTTCTTATTGTTTTCCATATCGCCCACTTCATGACAATTCTAAACAAATCAACAAGTAAATTTAAACAAACAAACACAAAAACTCTATACGGTATGCCAATTTCTAATAGTTTCCTATATTTTTTTGAATATTTGCTTTGGATTTGAATTCTAAATAATACTCCAAGTAGGGTAGATGGCTTCTCAACTCCCCTTTATTAAAGGAAGCCTAAATCCCTCCAACTACTAGAACAGATTGCCCACATGGATTTTGACAAGATTACTTGTGGCTTTGTAATTGTCAAATGTAATCCAGCATGCAAGCAGGATGGTTTAAAAATACAACTTGATACTAAAAAAGAAAAAAATCCCTTCTTGCATGGCAATGAAGTCTTAGTGATCAAAAGTCTTACATGACAATGTGCAATAGGGAGGTGTTTACAATTGTAGTCTCAGGAAAGGACTTTATTCTCAATTTTCTTCATATATCTCTTGCTCCGTTATTACTTATGAGAGCTTTCGCCATGACTGGACAATAGTATATGAATATATTCTGAAAAGAAATTTATAAGAAAAAAAAAAAACTCATGACAATTCTAAAACTCAAAAAATAGCGACCCATTGCATTCAAAATTGTAGCTCTCCCCAAAGCCAAGAAGCATTGAGTTAAATCAAAGCAGCCAAAGTCTTTTATCAAGCACAATTTTGGCATACCTTGAAAAGAGGCACAAAATCTCGCAATGCAGCTTAGACAGTAAGTATGAATACATCCTAAAGTTTGTTTCCACAACAACAAAGCCCTGGAGAGCAAAAGGGTGACAACAACAATAGTTAGTGGGACTCACTATTTAAACTGTCCACATAGGCTGCGTTTGGTTTAGTTTTGAAAATAATTTTGAAACACAAGATTGAAAAGAGTTTTCAAAATTTGAAAATTTATTTGGTTGTATATTTTGAAATTAGTTTTGTAGGTTTGTAGTTTGGAATGATTTGAAATTTTTTTGTAGTTGCATAGATGGATGTGAGAGAAAAAGTGATTGATTGATGTGTAGGATGTGAGAGAATGAGAGAAGAGATAGAAAAAGTGATTGAAAATAATTTTGAGAAAATTGTAAACCCAACAAATTTTGGGTTTTGAGCTCTCAAAAATTGTTTTCAAAACAAACCAAACAAGTCATATTTTCTATATTGTTTTCACAGAAAACTGAGAAAATATAGAAAAATACACTTTTACAAGTTGACCAACAAAAAGAGCATAGTATTCAAAGTCACAACTACATGTCTGTAAGTAGAGTCAGGGTAAAAATAAAATAAAAATGAGAATGAAATTCATCCATGTAGCAGAGGTATATAGATAAAAAAGGAAAAGGAAATATTTGAAAGAAAAATAAAAGAAATGAACGTAAAAACATTGTTGTGTGTTGATACAGGTGAAAAATAGAAGCTATAAATCAGAATTATTAGAGCTGATGTGGAGATGTAGTTGAAGACACAAAATGATCATTTGAGTTGATCAAACCATAGTAGCAGGAAACTCTTAATTTGGTGATGTTTCTTACTAAGTATGACGCACGGGTACGAGCACGAATACTGGTACTTGTACAATACGTGTATGTTGATATGGTAAAATCCAAAGAAAGTAGGGTACAGGTACGGCTTGGTACACTTGTAAAAAAAATATTTATTTTTAATTTAGAGTAATGTAGAAATTAATTAAATGGTTTAATTTGTTAAGATCCAACATATAATTGACATTTAATGCAAAAAATGTATAAATCAAAATTAAATGTCAATATATTAAATAATTTACAAACAATAGTTTAATTTTAAAATCATGCCAACCATAAAGCTAAAAATAAAAAAAGAATTCTAGTGAAATGAGTTTTATCTATGTAGTAAAAGAATATATTATTTCAACTAAGGTACGGTATGGCTTGGGTATATACTAGGTACGCCTGGGTATGTCAAAAATTAAGAAGAAAAATTTTAGGTACATGTTTTGTGTACCTGGTACATATGTAGAAGCATCATGCGAGATACTATATGCCAGTAAATACTTGGTACAGGTACGACATGTTTTTCGAAATACCTATGCTTCATAGCTTACTAAGAAACGCAATTCCATGCTTTCAAATAAGAAACCAACAAGAAACTCGCTCATTTCTAGGAATAAACTCCCTTTCAAGTGAGATTGAATCTCTCAAGCATACAAATCTTAAAGAAATAAAAGAAAAACAACTCAAACTTATTATCGTACTTTCTATTTACATAATATTTATTTATATTTAATAAAAACAATTTGTAGTTGATATCAATCTCCAACAAAAATTCATATTTTAACAAATATATTACAACTAACTAAATAGAAAAAAATAATTTTTAGAATATAATTATATATTTAATAATTTAATACATAAAATATATACATGCTCCAATATAGGTATGATAGATTTTGTGTTTGCTTGTTTGTAAGTTGAAAAATTGTTTGATAAAAATTTAAATGTTAAACTAAAATAAATTATTTAATAGGTATAAGATCAAATTTAAAATTCAAAGTTTAAATTTAAAATTTATTATTTTTAATTCTACTTTTTTAATTTTTATATTGTGATGGTAGAGGATGCAAATATAAATAAATCCACATTTGTGATAAAAATCTGAAATTGGTAATGAGAATACAAATAAATAAATAAAAATGGTAGGACAGATTTTGTGTTTGTTTGTTTGTACCTTGCAGGTGGCTGCTTATACTACGACATCTACTTCAGGAATGTATTGGATGATGGGCCAATATTGTTTTCCCTTTTCACACTTCTGTTTCAGTATTGGATTACATCCCCTGATGTCCAGTGACAAAAGCGAGGGAGGGAATCCTTGTTCTGGAAAGGTCGCAAGCTCAGGGCACCTATAGATCAGTAGATGCAAAAGAGAGGGGGGCAACCCTTCCTTTGGAAAGGACGCGAGCCTAGGGCAACAACAGATTTCAAGTGTTTCAAGAGAGGTGAGGTTTTGAAACTCCTCATAAGAGAGTCTTTCCAGATTTGGGAAGTTGTTGATTCTCAAAGAGATGAGAGAGGTGGGCAGGAACATCCCTTCTTCTGGAAAGGACACCGTATCTCCCCACGGCCAACCTCCGCCATCAAGGTGGAGTGTTGTAAGAGAAGAGAGTTTGTGCAAACCCCACTCTAATGGAGATGGAGGCGGAACTGGAAGTTGACCCACGTCGTCCACTCTCAAATTCCCGATTTGAAGTAAAGTGATGTGGGTGGGGAAACTCCCTTCCTTGACAAAGTAGGAGACCATCTCTGCTCTGCAATCAACTAAACCCAGCTCTTGAAGCGAAGTGAGTTGGTTGTTGTTGTTGTTCTCATCACGACCACCAAGTGACAGGGGCTCCAGATTAGAACAATTGTATATCTGCAATTGACTGAGATTCTTGAGATTATTGGCTTCAGGTAAAGATTTGAGACTCCAACAAAATTTGATACAAATAGTTTCAAGAGATGGACAATCAATTTTGATCCCTTCCTCTGCAAAAAGTGACTCCAGATTTCTGCAACCCTCAATCCCAAGTTGTTTTAGTGTGGATGGTAGCCCACCTCTTGACAATAAATATGTGAGTGATGCACATTCAGAAACCTTCAACTCTTGCAGATTATTGAGTGTCATCAACTCGGGTAGGGACTCCAAAGCATCACAATATGAAACCTCAAGTTCTCTCAGCATAGATGGCAAACCTTTCATTGGAAAAGAGATCAGACTCTCACAACTGTAGATTTTAAGCACCCCAAGAGATGTGCTCTTCAAATGGGAAGGGAGATGAATGATAGCTCAAATTTTAGGAAGGGAGAATGTGCTTTCCTGTAATGGTTGCACATGAGCTAGTTAGTCCATTTCCAATTCATGCTCATTGTTACAATTGTAAATAACCACCGAGAGCCCTGCTGCCAGTGGCAACCCCCGCACGTTAGCAACAATTCCTACCAAATTCCAATTCTGGATGTTCACTAATAGTTAGATCTGAATGCAGTTGCAAAATTGACCAGCATCAAAGGGATAACTCTCAATCGGGGCAATTGTCACCCACCTGCGGCAACAGTCGTGATTCGCGGTCACATTATGATTTTTTACTTCCCAGGGCCCGGCTCAAAAGGCAATCTAGCGAATCCACTCGCATCTGTCATAAGTTGCCCACACATCATCTACAGAACAAGCAAAACTTTTTCTCTGCCAGTTTGTCTAGTTGGACTGAAGGGCCTCATTAACCGTCGACTTGCATAATCAAGATGAACACCAAAATGGCCTTTGTTTATCGCTTCAATGTCAAACCCGCAGAAATCACAAACCTCACGCTTCAGACGAAATGGCGTTGACATCATTACGATCGCAAATGAAGTTGAGCCAGAGTAGTCTGCAACCCCAACCCATGCCGCACGGGGAATGACATCGACTTGTTTGAGTTGCTTGCATCCGAGAAGCAATCAATATCTGTTTTTCTTTCCTTCCTCATGCCATAAACACAAGCCTTCCGAACCAAATATGTATTCTGGTCCGCCAGAGCACATTGGAGACCATCCCGCCCAATAGCCTTTTTGACCAAACCAATCCTAATTCTGTAGTAACAACTTGTAACGACCATGACTCCTCAACTGACTCAATGGGCGAAAATTGAAGAAATTGTACTGAGTAAAACCAGTGCAAACAAGAGAAGAGGAATCGTCGACCTTCCTACATTGTTGGCCCACCAACATCAAACATCAGCAACAGTCCCGCCCTGACAGCCTTCTTGGTGTAGAGCAGTGGCAAACCGTCGATCACATCGCCGCATCATAAGCCAAATGCGAGCCTCAGCCACTTAGAAGCACCGTGTCGGAGAGCGCTTCTCCCGCACAGCAAGAACATCGTTTAAATTGCAAGACTTCCCCAGCTCTTGATGGAAGTGGTTGACACCCCCACGACGCGCCGCAAGCTGAAAAATCAGCCGGACAACAACTTCAATCACAGCTTCGAAAGCAGCGAGAATAAAGATCCCCACCAACATCCAGTCTACCGTCTGTTGTGAAAAAGAGCCCAGGAAAGAATGTAAGAAACAAAGCCAATATGAGATGAGAAAGAGAAGAGAGTGAGAGCAAATGGAACCTCACGTCTGTTTCAAACAAGTTTGTAGGTAGGTAATTGAAGTGAAAGAATATGATTTGGAATGGTTCTCTTGTCTCTAAGCAAGCAGGGAAACAAGCAAAGTAAGGCCTTCCCCCCCCCCTCTCTCCCATTCAGAAGCAGGGTAGTATAGCTGCGACAAACGTTTTGTAGAATTTTTGATGGGAAAAACAGGAAAAAGCAAGCAGGGCCCATTCCTCCTCCCTCCCTCCTAGCAGCAGGTATATGGTTACCGCGTGTTCCTCTAAGTGGTCTCTGTTCTCTAATATCAGGGTAAAATGTTTTTTTTGTCCGGACAATTTCTAATTAAAAAGATGAGCTATTGTAAAACAAATAAAATAAATGCAAAATAAAAGTTCGAAATGTTTAAAGATCAGAAAAAAAACGGGAAATTAGAAAATGATACCTTCCTGAGATTATAATACAATATATTAGATCAGCTTTACAAGGTTTGGTAAAATACATCTCTCTTATGGTAGGTAAACGGCCTGAAACTGATACAAAAGAAAATAAGCATAAAAGACACATTTCAAGTAAATAAATACAATATTATTTTCATTAATACGACTGAATCAAATTTACTAGGATGAATAATATAACTAAAATATAGGGAAACTTTAAAAGTATCAAAAAAGTAGTTAACTTTTTGAAATCTATATATTCTAAACCTAAGTATATTTTTCGAAACGAATAAGACAGTTAGTGCAAAGAAAAGAAACAACAAGATACTAGAGTTTCTTACCAGAACTACAAACAATTGTTTTTTTTGTAATAAATATAAATTTTAAAATTCAAGTTGTAAACTATATCCCCAAGTGTTTCATTAATGTCCGTTTCCTAAGACAATATTAAAAAAAAAATTGATTTTTTTTTTTAAAAAAATAACTTTCGAAGCCGTGTTGAAAAAATACCGTCAAAAATATAAATTCAAAAAAAAAAAAAATGATTTTTGATATGAGAATTTATTTTAAGTAACTTGGGGTAAATAAAAGAGAGTAAAAAAGAAAGGTTCCATAGTAGGTCAAATAAAATTAAAGTAAAGGAAGAAAAGCCAGGGAATTATTATAACTAGTTCAAAACTTTAATACAAGCCTTTATTTCAACATGCAAGTGCTTTTAGTTTTAAAGCTATTTAAGTCAGAGAAAAAAATAAAATAGATTTTTAAATCTAATAAGATAAAACATGCGCATCCAAACATAACCATTTCATTTTTTTCTCTCACAAAAGGTCAAAAAAAAAAATCAAAAAATCTCTCTCAAACGAGAGTTTTAATTTTAAAGCTAAAATCAAAAGCCAAAAAAACAACCACATTCCAAACGAACACCATCGAATAAAAACAAAATAAAATGAATGCAACCATTAATGAAATTCAATTCAACCCCTAAATTATTTAGAATTGGATGCTCATGCTTAAATAATAAAGTGTAAAGGTGAAAAAAATAAAAAAATCAAAGACAAAAGATAAAAGAGAATATAAAGTATTAATAAATGTAGAGCACCTCGCCTCTCCTCTGTGTCTTACATAAGCTTAATATAATTTCGTTGCTTTCCAAAAAATAAAAAAAATAAGTAAAGCAGCGCTGTAGACTCATTCTACACTATTCCTCGACAAGCTATAGAAATCAACAAATACATGGAGTCCATCAAACCAGTAAGACACGGGAAAGAAAATAACACAGACATCAAATAATGGATCGAGAAGCATGCCCCATACGAATTCCTCGCTCAAATAGTAAGTGTTAACATTTAAATTATAACAATTCACCCTCTCTAGGTTAAAGGAAAATATTCATTGCACACCCTGCATGCTGATATCTATGAACATATGTGCATATAAAAATAATAGTTGGGCAAAAAGATAACATCTTAAAAAAAAGTAAGTTTTGTTCTCCAAACTATATAAAAAAGTCTAAAAGTGCCATCTTTTGTAGTTCAGCAAAAAATATAAAAAAAAAAATTACTTTTATTATATATGTTTCAAAATGTTATTTTTACTCTTTTTTCTTTTGTTGAAGAAAATTGATGTTGGCAGTAATTTCCCGGCCAAGTTGGTTAGTATATATTCTCCCCAGTAGAATTCTAAGATCATCCCTGTAAATTTACTAATAATCAATAGGATATTCATAGTGCTGATAGAAAGACAAACACAAATAAAACCAGTTGGAAGGTGAAAATAATGTAGCATTCAGTTCAGCACTCAAGAAAATGGGACAAGGTGGAGTAAGAAGAAAGAAGGTGAGATATAATTTAAGAGGCAAAGTCAGCTAACCCTGGTTAAGGGCCGAAACTTACCCCAATGTTCAAAAAGGAGGCTGACAATACCCCGTAGATTTGGATTAATGTAACTCTAACACCATTGAAAAAAATAAGGTAAAATAGCTTGATAACCCTTTTCCAACCTAATTTGCTTCTCTGTTATTTCCTCTTTTCTCTTCTCACATAACCTCTAACTAACAACAAAAAATACATAAGTCAATTAAATAACAAAACACAACCCATCAAAAGGAGAAAAAAAAAAAAAACTGCAATTAATTAATTTCTGCATTTTAAACAATTTTCATTTAATTAATTTGCACAAAACAGAACATAATATACAGACAATATAATAATCCCTC